TTTTTTTTTTTTTTGCTGTAATTAGAATGTTTGTAATATTACCTCCTTTCTAATTTATAGTATATTAAAACACAAATTAGCCAATTCTTACCAAGTTTATAAGAAGCTGATAATAGAAAATCAAAACGTGCAAATGAAATAAATTGAAATAGTTTGAATTGTTTTAAAAGCAAAATTTTTCTACAGTGCTGAACGTAGAAGAAATGCTTTTTTAGAAGCATAACAAAAACAATTAATTTGATAAATTATTATCTAAATGATTTTAAATTGTTGTGTAATTATTGAATAAAAGTATATATACTTTTTACTACATTAAACGATTGCTTAAATAAATTTTTTATCTACTAGACTTTATAATATGTACTACTTACTTATCGCGTAGCATAAGTAGCATTGTTATGATAACATCCATTGATCAGAAGCGAATTACGTATAATGATATTCAAGGTAATATTGTAAAATCAGATTTATATTTTTTTGATAATATTTACCTATACAGAAGATTAAAAATTTCTGAAAAACTTAGGAGGTATATTAGCATTTTGAATTTAAGAAAATCAATTCAAAGTTTTTTTTATTAAAATGCTTTAAAATATGCATAAATTTTTCATTTTGTAAATGAAAAAAATTTATTTTTCTGTTTAGAGATTATATTTAATGATGTTTTTCTTTGATTTATTTTTTTGAAGTTTCAAGATAAATTCTGTTATTTACTATTGAATGATATTTCTTTGAAAATATAAAAATTAATACGAATACTCAAAATACATTTCTATATTTATTCGAATATTTTTTATATTTAGAAATATTATAGAAATATTAAATATGAAAATAAATTATTAATTTCGACGCAATATAAAAAATTATAAATTATTTTATTGCTATTAAAATATCTAAAATTTATCAAATAAATAAACAGAAATTTTTAAATTAAATATGTTAAGGACTGCGAATTAAATTTAAAAATAATAAATTTCTAAAAGATTTCTAAAAGTTTGACCAATGTTTTAATAACTCTATCTGAAAATAAAATCAATAAACAAAATTT